GCTGGGAAACATTTTCTCCTCCTGCCCAGCCTGACCCTCCCCTGGGGCAGTTTCCAGCCGTTCCCTCTTGTCCTGTCCCTGATCCCCTGGGAGCAGAGCCCAGCCCCGGCCTCTCTGCAATGTCCTGTCAGGAGCTGCAGAGAGGGATGAGGGCTCCCCTCAGCCTCCTCCTCCTCACCCTGAACACTCCCAGCTCCTTCCCTGGCTCCTCACAGGATTTATTCTCCAGCCCTTCCCCAGCCTCGTTGCCCTCCTCTGCCCTCGCTCCAGCCCCTCCAGATCTCTCTGGGATTGAGGTGCCCAACCTGGACACAACGCTCCAGGTGTGGCCTCACCAGTGCAGAGCACAGGGGGACTATGAAGAACGTGTCTGTTGTCTTAATTTATGCAGAAGTATAATAGAAGTATTGGAGGATTCTTTTGTGCAAAACATGCTATAGGAAAATTAAATTATGAAGCAGACTGCCTTGAGACTGACTTTAGAAATACAGAACTACTTGCAAGGGTTGGGACTACAGTTACACAAAAGACCAGGGCTTTACATTCTCTGAAGATGGCAAATGATTAATTTTGCACTATGTGCATTAACTTTTACACATTAACAAAGTCACTAGTCTGTTCTGTTGTGCGTGTTTTGACGTGACATTGCGGCTGACTACAGATGACTGATTTACGTGCCAAAACCATGTTTTATGCCTTTTTGTACCCTGGTTATTCCTTTTATGAACCTTTCTGAGGGTCTCACAGTCCTTCTGGTTTATCCCCCGAGGCTGTGGGCCCTCAGCGGTGGATGACAACCGTGGTGGGACATTCCAACCTGGGCACTGAGTTGTACGAAAGGCTGATGGCCTCAGGAAAAAACTTCTCCTTAGTGGCTGTGCCCGGATGCGAGTGCTGGGTTTCAAAGTGCACATTTACAGGAGGCTTCATGCTGCTGGTAGCCAGCTCTGTCTTTGGTTTGAGGTGACTACCTGGCAGTGCTTTCTCTAGCCTGGAATTTTTAAAGCCATAACTCAGCTCTGTGTTAGGTTTGTGGTGGTGGTGGCAGCAGAGAGACCAAGGATGAGGTGATTCTAGGGGTACAAGCATAATAGCTGGGAACACCACCTTGTTGTGTCTGTATTCAGGGTGGAGGACTATGACTTGGTACATGGTCACCCGCCTGAAATTTCCCCCAAACCTGAGAAACCAGAATACTGTTACTTTCCAGCCATACTCATGTTTATCAGGAAGGCTTTGAAACCCTGCAACAAATGCAGTCAGGGGTTACAGTCAGGATGGGATGACTGTGACCATAACTGTGGCATTATTTATGTAGATTTTGCCATGCAAAAGTAGGTAGAAGTTCTTAAGTCAACCCAGAGCATCACACAATTTCTGCTCTGGTCACTTGGATGTTTTCCACCAAGGGAGCAGGGGTCAAACTGAACCATTTTGGGAACTGTATGACCTTTTCTGGGCTGGGGCTGGCCCAGCTGAGCAGAGCATTTCTGTGGTTAATAGAAGTCCCTAGATACCCTGTCTTCAATCTGCAGTGTTGTCATTGGGTTTGGGGCCAACATGGTGGTCGATAGTCCTAGAAAATACTCAAAAGGATATATTGGGCAAATCCCATCATCGCCTTTTCTCCACAATGATGGAGTTAGCCCAGGAGTTTTGCTGCCTTCTCCGTGTCAGCCCTTGCCCAGATGATGCTGCTTCAGAAGGAAGAATAGGTGGACAGTTGCACGTGCATCCAGCTCTCCCAGTCAGAATTATCAGATGTGCTCTTTGAGTCATACACCTCACTTTTTATGTGCGATGGAAGGCAAGGCAGGGTGGAGGTGCCTTGTCCACAGCCCCACCTTTAGGTGCTGCTGCCACTCTGGGGACTTTTCCTCTCCCACTTCCATTACAAGAGCATAGTGTTGTAGGAGGAAGAGATGAGGTTGCTCACAGTGATGAAATGAGAAGGCAGTGGTGCCCTTTGAGCTGATGTGGGCTCATCCTTTCCCCATATCCCTAAAAAGGGGTGGGAGGAAGAAACCCTGGTCGCTGTACACCTGCAGACAGAGAAATGGGAGATTTTTTCCTCAATAAGAGGAGAAGTTAAAGGAAGTTTTAGGAACTGCTTTAATCATTAGCACCACCTGAAAACCCAATGCATGTGGAGAAGAAATAAAACCTCTTGAGAATTGCTGATGATATTCTTTTTCCTGACATTTCACTTTGTATCTGAGCCCCAACACAGAAAGATCTTGCATGACATGTGCTACATCACAGAATCCCAAAATCCTTCAGGTTGGAAAAGCCCCTCGGGATCAGCGAGTCCAACCCTCAGCCTGACTCTACAAAGTTCTCCCCTACCCCACATCCCCCACAGCTCATCCCAACAGCCCTGAAATCCCCCCAGGGATGGGGACTCCCCCCCTCCCTGGGTAAAGGATGTCTCTAAGGGTTAGTTTGATTCTGGTTTCATCACTTGGGGCATCTGATCCCAGTAATTTTCATGTAGAGGCAGCGTCCAGGAATGCAAGCATAGTGTGGGATGAGAGCTGAAATGAAGGATGTGCCCTGAACTTGGAGGTAATTGAAGGGCAGGCACCAGACCTGGCTGGAGGGGAAGGAGCTGAACAACTTAAATTAGAAGTCCTAGCTCCAGTACGAGGAGGGTTTGATATAATTAAAACCTACAGCACCAGGGGAAGTAATGAACTGCTCATAAGCTGCATGATGAAATCCAGCTGTGGCCTATTGAAAACAAACAGGTTGGTTTCCCTTGAGTTTCCAGAATGTGAGTACGGACAGTGCTTCATTTTACAGGCATCATCTCGTGATGCGGGATTATAGAGGGTGGATGAACTGTTGTAATCCTTGAGAGAGGTTTTTTTTTATGCCATGGGTAAAGTATTATGCCAAGGCTGAGTCTTCTGATGTTGTTTTCAGGGCTCTACGCAGTTCTGCAGATGAAAGCCTTCGGGCTCTAGGGCTGCTAGTTGGGCAGCTGTCACTGGTGTGCTGTATGTTGGCCTCCATCAGCAAAATATCCTTTTGAAGGAAAGTCTTTATTTTAGAGGGAATCTGTTTCCTCCAGGAAAAGGAGGGACTGTGTTTTGCTGAGTTTAAGAACATCTGTGCCTGTCTTAGTGCTTAATGCTCTTGTAAGAGTGGAAAGGGTGAGTTTTTTCTCAAAAAAAAAAAAGCCCCAAACAAACAACCCACCTCTCTGATGATCATCTTAAAAATTGATTCTTCCAAATGTAGTGTTGGGTGGGTTGTAGGTAATCTTGGGTGGGAGGTGTGAGCTTGGCCTCCTCCAGAGAGGCTGATTGATGCATATCAGTAGGCTTCAGGGTTTCAGCTCAGCTGAAGTGGTGCTTCGTTTGTAGAGGAGAGTGCTAAGGCTTGGACAACAGGCCCAAGCCAGAGCTGACCCCTAGATGAATCCTGTCTATTTTATCACTGATAACCACTGTGCTAGTAGGGATTGTGCTGGGTTATAACAAACCACCTGTGCTGATGTAAAAAGTGCCCAAGTGCTGAAGTGTCGAAGCCTCAACAACAGGCCCCGAGCCGCAGCTGCTAACTTGGTGTGTAGTCATTAGTGAGCTGTGTGTGCTCACTAGTGAAAGGTGCAGCTTGGACAGAATATGATCAGCAGCGAGGATGAAATGCTGAGAGAATGTATCCAACCTCCCTTGTTTAGCCTTGCTCAAGGCTGGAACCCAAGGGTTTGGCCTTGTTAGACCCTCCCTTGGTTCTGCCCCCCGAGCCCTGGCCAGGCTTTGGGTGGAATCCAACAGGAGGATGAAACCAGATGTTTCCACTCAAAACAGAGGTGCCAGCTCTTCTGACTCGCTGATTTTGGGGTACGTAAGGCTGGGCCCGCTCGCAGCGACTTTGGCTGCCTCAGCTAGGGGTGGACACACCGCGTGGGACTTCCCACTTGCCAGGAAAGGCTCAACAAATCCTGGTGCAACCGGGGCTGCCCAGTGACTGCGGGTCTGGGTGACGGTAACGGGGGCAAGGGGTGACGGATCTTTCTTAACCGCTGTTCCCTCTCTCACGTAGCAATGATTTGATGCATTACCCTGTATTTCCCTGTTTGTTTCAGTGCACTAGTCTGTCTTTTCTTACTGCATGTTTCCTGTATTACTCCGTTACATTATTTAATTATCCCCAGTAAAATACTCCTACACTTGTCACTCTGCTGTCCGAGTTTAATTGGTATCCTTAATCAGCAAAACAGGAATTCACAGGAATTGAATTCTTCTGTGTTAAAGGTTAAAGGGGTAGCTAGGATCAGATGCAGCATTTTCTTCTTTTAGATCTTTGCATACTGTAGTCATTACTTCTGAAGTTGAAATGGCACTGTTACAAAAAGGTCCATGTCTCCTTTTCTTGGCAGATGCTTTTTAAATAACTGCTAATAACTTTATTTCATTTCAGGCAGCAGCAGCAGGTCTCAGCTATGTCGGGGCTTATGTCATTAACACCTACAAAAGCTATGACAACTTTCTGCAGGACAAGTACGCCCTGTTGCCAGCTGTCATCATTATTTGTGTTGCTGTGGTAATGTTCATCATTGGGTTGATCGGCTGCTGTGCCACCTTCCGGGAGTCTCGAGTCGGTCTAGGGATGGTGAGTGTTGCATGTTCTTGTATGTCCTCTTCTTCACCCTGTTGCGTGGCATGGGAATAGATACGCTAGACCTTCTTGGGATGCACAGAACAAACAGAAAGTCAAAGATTGTTCTGAAATATACTGCTGAAGCACTGCTCCTTCATAGGAGTTACCTACTGCTGTGACGCACTGAGCGGTGGCGAGTGAGGTACAGGCTAAATTATTAGTTGTGCTGCCTTGTACAGACAAATGTCCACAGAGTCGTGGCTCTGCCACAGCTTTCTGGAGATGAGTGTGGAGAGTAGCAAGTTTTGAGAAGCACAGTGGTGATGAGCGAGCAGAAGGAGATGTGATGTTGGGATACAGATCTTTTGCCCCTCCCTCAAAAAGGCCATTGAATGACTCGAGCGTGGGCAGAGAAGGGCAACGGAGCTGGGGCAGGGTCTGGAGCACAG